GACACAAAGAACAACCAAATTTCGTCGTCGATCTTATTCATCGCGCGATTTAAGACAGCTGAGTGACGGAAGGGAAATCTACGAAGCTCTTACACGTGCGTCTGACCCCGACGCGGTAAAGGTGTGTGGGATTGACCTATAACTACCGTGAACTTCTTTTTATATGGATACTAACTACAAGATACTTTCTGTGTTCCCAACCGTCTTTCTCTTTTTGAGCGTGGCGGTGGAAGTAGAGGAGGGAGGAGGGAGGATTTCGTCGAATGTAATCGCAAACAACCCTTTCCTCTCTTTTAGGAATGTCTTGATGAACGCCAAGTGACCGCTCTGGAGGAATACCAGCGCTTGATACAGGAAAAAAAAAGCGCCGAATTACAGAGAAAATTTGAACGAGTTTGGCGAGAGCAGGAGGAAGAGGTAACTGGTCCTTAATGTTGAGATTCATAGCATACTTCTAAGAGACGAAAAAGGGTATTTTTCAACGAGTTTGCCTGTAAACTCCTTTGTGAGAGGTACGTAAATAAACTATGTATGTAATGACATTAAAATGAAAATAAACAATAATAATTATGGTAATAATGATAGTTATAATAATAATAGTTTTAATAATAATAATAATAATAATAATAATAATAACAAGTAATAATGGTAATGAAAATGATGATTATGATCATCATAATAATAACAGTAATAATAATAATATTAAATTGGTTTTCCCTCAGTGTCACTTGAAACGAAATGTGGTCCCTCTACTGAAAGTTTGGATTACTGACTACAGATACCGTACAAAAGAAAGTAAGTGTTGATCGAACTTAGAATGAATATAAGGCTTTGAAGTATCAACTGATTATCAGACACCATAGGAGTATTTGTAAATTTGTGACAAAGTAGTTTACAAGAAGTATTCAAATCTCACATTGCATGAAATACTGAAAAATAACTCGTACCATTTTCACTGAAATGGTCAGTAGCAGATTCTTCCTCGCTTCAATAATAGACCATTCCCGCATTCGTCACAAGCACGCGCGCGAAAACATGAAAGTGAGGCTCGGGTGGACAAACATCAAACATGGCGGACAACACCGAGAAGCCTAAGGCGCAAACTGCGAAAGATATCCCGTGGTGTAAGTCTCTTAAAAGCTTGCCAGTGTTTACAAGGAAAGAGATAGATGAACACCAGAACAATAGTGGCAAACGAAAGGCTGACGACGTTTCGAAGCCTATTAAAAAAACCCTGAAGCGCGGCTTAAAATTTCAAGAAGAACGGTATCTTTCATCAGACACAGTGTATACGAAGGTATTTGGTAACTCGTTTATGGTAAAAGCAAAGTGTCGTGCCAGCATGAGTACTCGAGAAATTCACGAACTAGAAGTTTCACTCGATGTAACATCTGGGAATGTACGGGAAGCACACTGTACTTGCAGAGCTGGCAAAAGTGGATACTGTAATCATGTGATGAGTCTTCTACTTGAACTCGCTCGTTACTCTTTGGAAGACTTTGACAGGATACCCGAGGAAGCAGCATGTACAAGTATGTCAAGGAAATGGGGTATTCCAGGTAAAGTATAAATTGATTTCAATTAGCTGTAAGTACCTACCTGTACTTTTGGGCAGCTCACGCAAGTAGTTAACATGTTCGGTTTTCGTCTGCTAGCAGAAGAATTAAACTGATAATAGCATAGGTCATGCTGAAGCACGTCTTGATAAAGTTGTATGATGTGTCTGAAAGTTTTGAAGTGACTTAAACATTATTCACATAGTGATCAAACTTTTTTCTGTTCTTGTTCTAAGGTGAGAAAGGTCTACCTAAAGAACCCATAATGAAGACATCAGTTCAAAAGGAGTTAACGAACAAGGGAATAAAACCAACTCTGTATGATCCAAGAGTCAAGGAAAGAAAAAGATTAGACATCCGTGGAGTTCAAGTAATGCAAAAGGAATTGGAATCAATTCATCCTCTTATTGGTTTTTCCCATGTCATCCCAAAAAAGCCTGAATTGCTGACTAATATAGACACCAGGTATGGACCAGTGGTCATTGGATCTCCCCTCTCTTTTCATTTAAGTTCTTTGGAGTTCAATTTCACTGTTGTCACTAACTTGGAACCGGCAGTTAACCCTGCTCAAGCAGATTCAAGTGACATTTACAAAGTAAGCTTGCCATTCCATTTCCCAGATTTACCTGAAGCTGTTCATTTCAGTACTGTGCAACAAACATTCATTGAACACTTAAGAGTAACTCACCAAGAAAGTATTGATATTGAGAAAAGGACTGTTAAGCAAAGGGAATGTGATGAGTGGATAAAACACCGCAAAAATAGACTTGGATCATCTGTGTGTCACAGAATATATGTAAGGAAACGAAGTTTCAATAATCTTGCCAAGGAACTTAACCAGCCATTTAAGCCTCTAGATGAAATTCCAGCAATTCAGCAGAGAAAGCTAAAGCATGGCATAAAATTTGAGCCAGTTGCAAGAGAAAAATATTATGATGTCATGAAGCACTATTTGAAGAGGCCAATTACCTTGAGAGAGACAGGAATGGTGATTCCCCCTTGCATGTTTTGGCTTGAAGGCAGTCCTGATGGTCTTGTTATTGATCCATGTTCCTCATCTGGGAAGATAGGGACAATTGAAATGAAATGTCCAGAGGGAAAGAAGAACCACACCCCAGAGGAGGCAATGCAAGATGAATCGTTTTACATTGAATTAGTTGATGGTAAACCCAACCTGAAGAAAGATCATCACCTAGGATATTACACCCAAGTCCAGCTAGTTATGGGTTTCTGTGGTTTAGAGTGGCTTGACTTTGTAGTCTATCTATTTAAAGGGATGATCATCACAAGAGTTCCATTTAATAAAGATTATTTTGACCAAGTAGTATGTAAAGTAAACATCTTCTATGTAAAGTGGTTTCTTCCTCAGGTCATGGCCTAAATGCAGCTTAGTATATTGTGCATTGTGCCTGAGCAAACGGTGACATTACAACGTGTACCAGTTTTCCATAGTATCTAGCTTTTAGACTCCTGTTGATGGGTGTTAGGGCTTCAAGGATAAGGTTACTTTGCTCGTTGCAATGTTATTACAGTACAGTAAAAACCCACGTATAAGAACCTAAAATTTAAGAACCTGTTAGGCTAAAATGTTTATTTTAAACCCCCTTTTCATAACAACCTATTTAGCCTAAAATTTTCAATAGGTTAATATTTTACAAAAATGAAACAGATGAAAATACGGAGAAAAACTTTTAGTCTAGGTTTCAGTCAGTAAGATTCAAACAATGAACTAAAATGAAAACCATATCATGTCTTTGCCAATACTGGATTACACAATGCAATATTATTATTAAGAATACAGATCTCTATCATATGCCCGAGAGTAGTTATCTGTGCTGATCACTAGTACCCCTATCAAAATTAAGAGCCTGTTTAAGAACCTAAGTAGCCCAGAATCCCACTAAATACCATTTCTATAAGAACCTATTTATGCTAAGTTGGAAAAATCTAGGTTCTTGTATGCATATTTTTACTGTATTTTATTGACAATATACGAGAAGGAGTATTTCATAGAATTCTTAAAAAAGATGACTTCCATGACAAGAATATTAAAAGTATTACATGTTCAGCAATTACTTAACAATTTCTGTTCAATTTCTATGAGAGCAATGATTTGCGCAATAATCTCAAGAAAGGTACTGTTTGAAAATCGTGGAAATTCAATTATTGCAAAATATCAATTATTCTAAAAGGGAAAGTGTTTTCATTGACAAAAGAAATGTTAGTTAGTCTTGAAAAAGCGAAAATTCAGCTTCGGTATTTATTCATAAACCAACTTGATCCTTGTAAATCATTGGGCACTTTGAAGGAAATGATGATAAAACCATAACATTATTATTGCTTAATAAGCGGGTCCATAAAGTTACATAGAAGACAAGCCACTGTCCATATTTGGTTTATGGTCCCATTCATATTTAGTGGAATTTCAGTCTTTAAGACTTTAAATTTCTTAATGCGAGCAATAATACGTTCTACATGGATTCTAACAGAGGCGATTGTTTGACTAAATACAACATCTTCTTTGTCAAGCTGCTCTTTGCCATCAAGAAATGCAGGTATGTTTAACTTAACTCCTAGAGGGTCAAGTAATTCCTGGATTGTAAATCCTCTGTCTGCCATAATTGAATCCCCTTTCTCCCAAAGTTCTGGGTGTAGTATACCACACCTGGAAACTATTTCCTTATCTGACAGCGATCCAGGGTACAACTGACTCACAAAAGTTATAGCTCCAGAAGGACTGATGCCCACTAAAGCTTTGTATGTTACATGGTGCTTATAGTGTGAGTAAAGGGCACTCTGTGTAGTTAGGCTAGAAGGCACTTGTACAAAGATTTCTGTACAGTCAATGATACATCTTGTTGAGGGATAAGTGTCCTTAAAACATATTGGCATGGATGAAACAATCTGATCTTTAGAAGGCCATATGGGAATATTTCCCAAACAGAAGTACAAGTAATTTGACCAGGTGATCAAGTACCGGGAAATGGTTGATTTGCCAAGTCCAAATAACCACGCCAGATGTTTCTGTCCAAATCCACACCTTAACCACACCAAAAACATAAACAATTGTTCAATCACATCCAATTTAGGGCTCACACCAGGCTTACTTCCTTCAGTAAATTTACATTCATCAGGTTCATCTGACCCATTCTTTGAAGGCTCATAGTATTTCAAATTACTAGCATTCTCACCAGGATTTAAAAATTGAAAAAGAATGTCAAACTTAACTGGATGAAAACCAGTGAATGACTTGAAAACGTCTTCTTGTTCTCTGATGTTCTTGGATGTAAACTGTCCTTTTTCCAGTTTTTGTATTTTGGCTTTCAGCTCACTCCAATCTTTTTTCAACGTCACTTTTTTGTTTAATCAAAAGTGACAATTTAACCTCCAACTTTTCCACGACTCTTCTCAAATAAGCGCAATTTTCACAGGCCTCTGTCGGTCTTGCATTGTCTTCATTAAGCAACCTAGAGCTTAAATAACATGGTTCTGATTCAGGCTGAATATTTTCTTCATTTTGCTCAGAACATCTCTTTTTTGGTAATTTTCGATTAGGTGTGCTCGCACTTTTATTCCAGCTGAAAATGGAAGGAATAGTAGTCTTGTCTTTCAGATCTTTCCTGCCACTGAACTGTTTTTTAATTTCCTCAGGGCGAAAATGTTGCTCACACACTTTAGTGTATTCCGTCACAACAAATCCGTCTCTGTTTTCTTGTCTTTTAATTGCCAAAAGCCACCGATTCCTACTTTTTGCCTCCAGAGGAAAAGAAAAAAATGAAATATTAGTTTTTTCCCCCTGATTGTTATAAAAGGAACTTTTGCAACCAGGGACACAACAATATTTGCTACGGCCACCGCGCGAAGAAGTGAAGGTGTTGTCCGCCATGTTTGATGTTTGTCCACCCGAGCCTCACTTTCATGTTTTCGCGCGCGTGCTTGTGACGAATGCGGGAATGGTCTATTAAGCTACCTCTATCAGCCTCATATGTAGCTCTAGAAGTGAAATGGTTAATATTTGTCCAAATCACAGATGCCATATTGAGTATTTGGCGACCAAGCGAAGAGGTAATGCAACTACTGAATGAGGGATCTCGACTGAGGATATGCCACCTTACGGCAGCTGGTGTCAGGTAAAGCAATTTTTAAGCTTGAGCTGTGTCACGCTAATAAATCAAGTTCCCCTTTTGGCGACTAATCAAAAACTGTCTGAAATGTAGAAATAAGTACCAGCAATACATAGACAAAAGGATTCACGCATGGGTGATTGCAGAAGATTGATTGAAGATTATGACTGGGGCTTTTGAAAACTGTTCTGCCTAAGTCATCAGGGGGGTTTGCTAATGACAACATCGGCGACAACGAGTATGTCAAAAAAGTAATAGGTTAATAGGCAAAACAGTGACTCGAACTCTGCATCATGATTTTTTGTACATTTCTTTGCGGCCACCACACGACGTCAACGTCAATACCTTGGAATCCTATCGAGTCACCTTAAATTACCTTGTACGACGTTTTACGGAGGTCGTAACTCCACACACGACTACGAGTTTTCGTTTGTCCTTCAAAACTTGCATTCGGTCCCTAGGAATTCATTTCCAAGTAAATTCACCTGCATTTGACAATTTAAGCAAATGTAAGTGATAAAAACCATTACCTCAGCATTTCCTATTTGGCCACGAATGGAATAATCGCTACTAAGTTCGTAAAACAATGATTCAATAAAATAAATAAATAATAAAACAGCAACAACAAGTGACGTTTTGGCTGCCGTATTCGTCGTTGTTACTCAAGCTCCCCATTACCTGGGGAAACGGTTATCTATTGTATTCATTATTATACGTGACATCTCATAGTGAACATACAACGAACAAGTGATACTACTAAGTAAACATATGCATCATGGGCACCCTCAACTTAAACTGTATACTCATAATAAGTTATATAACTCCATAAATTGTCGCGTACCCTCTCTTCTCAGGTGTCGACTAGGTGCCCAGGAATTACAGGTACGTGGACAGTCGAAAAAACATTAGACTTGGCTGCACAAAAATCCTCAAGTATTCATAGTTGGCCTAACTTTCCGAAGACTAAAATAAACTTGATAGTCTATTTAAGATATTGTACTGATAACATGACTTTGTAGAAATCGAAAACGTCATTGTATATACCATTATTTTGGTTTGAAATGTAAACCTAGCGATATACAATATGAAGTGTAAAAAGTGCTAGTTATCAGCCAAATAGTTTTGCTTTGAAAGAGTCAGATTGGGTGTCCAGGTTAGGTTTCTTTTTGGTAATCAGCACCTTTTACCCTTCATATTGTCTTACACTTCATATTGCATTTTTCTCTTTTAATCACATGCAACTAAACTTTCACACGCAACTCCCTATATAATAAACTCAAGGAACTAAAAAAATACAAGAATTTGAAAATAATGACATGGAGTCATTGAAAAGTCATTCATTGCTATCGCTAATTTTCGTTCTCAATTTCTTTTCTAAAGCCTCCGTTATTAGAAATGTAAACCTCTCTTCGCATTATACAGTTAAGACTTTTTCGTTCTTTATTTTTCCTTTTTGTTATTCTAAATTGTAGTTGTTTTTTATTTTTTTTGTGAGTGAGAGTTAGAAGGGGGAGTCGGGGAACCTTTGGGGCCGGTCATTTGATTCCATCAATTCGGTTAATTAAAATCGGTTATATAACTGTACTAATATTGGGTATGATTCATTCAAGTTGACTGCATCTAGGACGACCAGATATGAAGCACTACCCATCGACGCGAATGTGACGACTAGTTACTTCGCCCGCCAGGTATGAACTCTTTATTTCGCCCGGGCAAGCCAGTGGACGGGTCGTTTTTTTTTCAAAGTTGATCTTGCCTTTAACCCTTTCACTGCAAGGATAAAAGAAGGAGTCTCGTAACCTGGTTCTAACTTGTGAATCTGTGGACGGAATCCTGAGGTGTGACCATTCAAATGAAACCTCTTTTCCAGTACTTTCACATTGTGCTATTTATTTTACAGCATTTTACCAAAGTAAAATTTTAAAGTTTCTTGAAATTTCACTTTGGCCACTTTCGGCTGTGAAAGGGTTAAATCAACCAGGGACCAGCCATCCCTGTTCACCATAGGCCTCGTCCACACGTATCCGGATATTTTTTTAATCTACAACGTTTTAGGCTTCCGTCCACACGTATCCGGTTAGTCCGGCATACGAATCCGCAACTTTTTGAATCCGCTCCCCAGCGTGGAAATTTTTGAATGAGCTATGAATCAGGAATCATGTGCACGGTAAATCCGGATATATATATATTTTTCATCCAGTCACGTAACTAGATCGAGGCAGGTTCTTTACCGTGAATATTCAAGATGGTGCCGAGCGCAATGTTTCCGCCTATCTACTTCTAAAACCTCAGTTTCAAGTCCTATAACTTGTGCGCAGTTAAACTTGGCTATTATTACTGTTCACTTCAATTATGCCAAGCGGTGGCGAGGACATTCTCAGGCTTCTTTCGATGTCGGACGGACGAATTGTATGCCAATAAAAAACGTAACTTAAAGGAGCAAACTAATGCTTGATGGGACAGTTTTTTCAGCGAAAACGTTTTTTTTTTTTTTTGCGGAAGAATGGTGAGAACAATTTCGCATTAGCCCAGATCACTTTTCAAACCAGCTGACGAAATGAGAGTGCATCCGCGTACTTGTGGAAGAGAAAGTTCAATTTGAATACGCTGTGTGTGGACGTGGAAATTTTTGAATCCGGAAAGAAAAATTTGCGGATTCAAAAATATCCAGATACCTGTGGAAGGGACCTTAGAGAAGTGTCCAACTTATAGAGAGTTGACCTGTTGTCATCGTTTTTCTTGCAGGCCTGTTCTTTTGATAAGCTGCGTAGTTGTTCGTCCCAGCTGTGTTCAGAAGTGGATATTGTTGGAGTGGTTGTTTTCTGTACTCCCCTTTCTTGTTTTTGCAACTCAAGGTTTGGTCATCTCTTTAAGAGTATGTTATTATCATCAACAGCACCGTCGTCGTCATTTTCATCATCATCATCATAATGGTCCTCCTCATCATCATTATCATTATTTTATCAAAATGATGTTACGTTTAATTTGACACTGTTAAAGAAATGTAAGTAAAATTATCCGGGAAGTACTGTTTAAAAAGCGAGCAGGAGTGTATTATCAGGTTTAAAAGTCACACTGCAGAGAACACAGAAATTGGCATACAGATATGCTCACTTGCATTGTAGCCGACGTGGTTACTAAAATTTCCTGAATCGAGTCATTCAAAAAAAAGAAAAAAAAAAGACGGGGACTGATGCTATTGACAACTGTTAGGTTTTACGCTTGGCACAAAAGAAAAACCTAGAACGAACCAGGAGAAAATGTGATGGAACTACTCGACCATGAACACCACTTCCACTTAAAGTATTTACCGGTTTTGTTTTTGTGTTTTGTTCTAGTGTACAGACCGTGTATATATCCGACGATGAGATGAATTTAGCGGCAATAAAGTTCTGGGGAGGACTTAAGGTATTGACTTACAGTTTCTTCCTGTGACGCTGTTTTCAAAAAGATGCAGCGGAAAGAAAAAAATCGTTAAAATCTATTTTTATTTGTTTACTGCTTTATTTACTTCAAAGCTATGTCGAAATTCCAAAAGACATAAAAAAAAAATAAATAAAAATAGAAATATTGGTTATTTAAGTTCCCTTGACTGAAAATAAATTAACGTGGTACTACCACGAAAATTTTTGTTTTTGTTTCCGAGTTTTTTTAACATAAGTCTTTTGTATATGTTCAAAATTATACAAATAGCGAAAAACTGGAACGGTACTTGCGTACGGGGGCTGGAAATTTCCCACTGAAAAGTGCGTAAATACCGTCCGCCATTACAAAGTTCGCAAAACAATAGCCCGCGAGATCTCCGCAAAGCGGTCGTGCGTTTGACCACGTGATTTATGCACTGTGACGTAAAACATCAACCAAAAGATTCGCAGTTGGGAAAAGTTTGTGAGTTTAGAGCCTTTTAACAAGATGTCATCTCCGTCGGATTCCTCTTCCTGCACATCTGAAAGTGATCTAGAAAGTTTTACAGCTGACGAAGTGATTGGGGAATTGCCTGAATTTGCGCCGTACGACGACAGTTGCGAACCCCTTGCTACCGAGGAAGAAGCCGCGGACTACAACGAAAGAGTTCATCGCGAAGAAGAAGAGGAACAACAGTTTCAACGAAGATATTCGGGAGAGGTGCCAGCGAATGAATGGTATGGTATTATCATGAAATGTAGATTTATATTTTTATTTTCCAATTTCAACATACTCGTCGTTAAATCGTGCGCGTGGCGAACACGACTATGTGTTTTGTTCGTTGCTATGTGATTAGCTGTAGTCCTGATTTTATGCGATAGTTTTATTAAAGCGGTCAGACAATTAATAATTTTATACAGACGTATATTTCTTGTGTTTGACGAATTTTTCACATTATTTTGCAGGTGTTTGTGCTCGAACTGCTCTGTCAGCCTTGTTACAAAAGCTCAGGAGTGCATTTGCAGCAAAGAGATCGATCGCTGCGATGAGGTCATGGAAGAAGCCACTGGAGACCGGACCGCATGCATAACCCTCCATCCAGGGTTTGAAAACGTCTGCTTAAATCGCCACGTATTAGAAGTGGCTGCACTGGGCCTAAAAACGCGAGCTGGAAAGTCGTACACAACTGTTCGTGGGCAAAGCAACAAAAGTGATGATGAGTAAGTTGGGGTATTGTTGACTTTGTATCGGAACGATCGAACCTTACATAGCATGGAATAATTGATACATCTAAGCTTATAGCCGTGGACTGATCTCATAGAATCACATTTTTTATTTTCTAAGTGGCTTTATTGCCCCGACTGCTTATTTTTAAAAGGAGTATTTATTCATCTCCATCCAATCCCTCCTTGAATTAACAGTGATCTCAATTCTCTAACTAGATTCCTGAGGTCTGTGGCCTATCGCCAATTTACAAGACTGCTGTGGAATTATATTGGTAGTTCCAGGCGATACCCCTTGCCCTGTTGTGCCTACAATAAAATCAGGAAACAATTTCCGAGTCAAAATGGCCATTATCGTGGATTCGAAGATGAAGAAAATGAATAATAAATGCACTGTTTGTTCTTGAAGAGTGTCATGTATGCCACTGGGGCCAAGAAGGACCTACAGTAGTTGCTTGAATACTTTTGCGTAAGCACTTAATTTTATGGGGAAACTTCAGAATTCTCAGCCACTTACTCGCTTTTTGTTGAATGACAAACTTGCCCACTGTGTGAAGCCCTGTTCTTCCAGCGTTCAGTTAAACTCAAGTTTAGTGGTTGGGAATTCTGATGTTGCTCCAATTTTCATGTACACAAGTAATAAAAATTAAATCGAATTCAGCCTGAATTTAATTACAGTTTTAATGTATCTTTTAATTTCTTTCTTTTCACTCGGCTTAAATTTCCACAATTCGATCATTCGTCCTCAGCCATGTCACATTGCCCTCTTTTGTGCCCAAGTCTTCTTTTGCCACATTTAGAGCAGCGAGGAGGTCGTCTGCCACTGTTAGATGTCTGCCGAGTTTGTCTCCCTGAATCATCTGATGTCACCTGAATTTCATCCTCTAAAATTTAAACCATACATACATTGGGAGTAAAGTAGGATATACCAAGGCCACACATTTTAGATAATTACTCAAGAGTAGAATGCCATTTAATAACTCATTTTCTTACCTGGGCAGGTTGGAGGGCAAAGAACCGTTGTTTCCTCTTTTCTTGTCTGGTATTTTGATATGGCGTCTTCTCTGCTTTCTCTGTCCAACATGGTGTTTATATGTTTTTTCCTTGTAGATCCAACCTGTAAAAAATGATTGAAAGGAAATACTCATTTAATCATAGCATCTGAAATAATAAAATGACAATAAAAAAAATGATTATCATTTTTATTGTTTTTCTCAGAGTGTTGCCAGTTTTTGAACTTGTTGTAAACCTGGCTAATTGTGGGTTGGGATTTTATTCTCACATCCATCCATCTGTTGATTGCACACATGACAACTTTGAGCCCTTAAGCTATCTAGCCCACCCCAATGATGCATAATTTATTACAAGTGGTTGAGTGGACAAACCAAACATTTTTAGGCCTGGGACTTCCAGTCTATGGGCTGGCTATGCCTTTTTTTTTTTTTTTTTTTGGCAATTCTTATCGGAGTAAATTAAAAAACAAATTTCATGTACTCTTGGGCGCTTTCCATTTACGAAAAAAACTCGGAAATTTCGGTGGTAGCAAAAGTGGAATTTCCGATTGGTAAAAAGTTGTTCCATTTGGTCGTAAACCCCGGTACGTGGCGCGGTGCCCGACCGTGGACCTGGAACTGGTACAAACTACGAGAAACGTAAATGGAACACGACATTCCGTTCGGAAATTCCAACCGGGAAAACGGGACCACCTTTTTAGATTTTCCACTTTTTCTGGGAATTTTCCAGTGGGACGAACCGACGAAACGTGTTCCATTTACCGCCGAACCGGAAATTCCGGAAATTTTGACTAAATGGAAAGCGCCCCTTGTTTCTAAATAGATCCTCTCATACTGGAAGTTAGTTTTAGGCCTAAATCACTTCCCAAAGAATGCTTAGAGCTAAGATGTTAAAATGCAGTAAATTTTGCATCTTTGTACCTTGGGGTCTGATGAGTCTTCACCGAGTCATCATCTTCCTTTAGTTTTTTATATGCATCTTCGATTTCTTCAGGACCCCATGTAGGGTCTTCATCACACTCAAACTCCTCATACGCATCGTCCTGCATTTCCCGCTCATCTTCTGATTCATCCTCTAGCGCTAACTCTGTCTCATTTGTTACTGGCCATGGATCAGTTTGAATAGCTTAAACAAATGGAATTAAAAAAATTATATCACCATTAAAATTTTAATTATTATTAAATAATTAAATATTGATGAAATATAATAATAATATAAAGATAAGCAGTTATGCCTATATGACTCATCAACATCAATTATTGTTGACTCACCAGCATTCACCATCAGCAACTGCTTCGGCTCTTGTATGCTCTTAAAGGTTTCAACCCACTGATCTTGATTGGAGATTAACTTACTCTTCAGTCTTGTGACTTTGCCCCTTAACTGAGTCACCTCACTCCTCAGGTTTTTGCATGTTGTGCAATTCCCAGCATGTCCAGTTGGAGTATCCTACAAAAAACAAACTTTCAACATTAATACAGGCTGTAATAACGAGACTTTAGAATTTTTGTGTTTTAGTATTGCTGTAAAATAACTGCACATGTAGTTTTCCATTGTTATGATAATACAAAGATGCAAATAAACATTAATTAGAGTTGTGCGCCTACCATAGAAACCTGTTCAAGTTCAGGAATCGTTAATGATTCATCAATCTGCATAACTTCATCCATATCCAGCACTTTTCCGATTCCCTCAGCCTCCAGGATCTGCATGGTCTCAGTAACCTTATCAGTGCCTGAAATTCCTTGGCTCTCGAGAGCTGTCTTATCACCAGGAGTACCTAGGACCTCTGAAGCCATCTCGGCATCAACACTTATCTCACCCGTCTCAGTCTCAGGGATGCAGCCCTCCTTTTCAGGATTTACCTCAAGCAAAGAACCCTGGCTTGTATTCAGAACACCCTCGACTTCTGGAGACCCCTCAGGGTTGAGATTGGGAGCCCCCATAGTGTCAGCACTCTCCTCAGGTGCAGAACTTCCTTTCAAAGAGATCACCTCTTCTTCAGGATTGTCTTCTTCCTCTGTATCCTCATTAGTAGTTTGACCAGCCAGAATTTCATTTAATAGCTAAAAATGAAAGTAGGTACGACCATTTTTTATATCTCCCCTTCAAAACAAGTTTAAATTTGAGCTTTATGTCGATGTTTTCAAACTAGAAATGGAAGCAAGGTTTAACCAAATCTTTGCCTTAAAATGTACGCATCATTTGCAGACAGTGAAAATAGAATTAAAATACAAACGGAAAAAAAAACCCGCAAACAGTAACTGAGCTTATAGAATGTAGAAATCAGACTAAGTCCATATTTGGTCGTTTTAAAAGACTCGCGGGTACCGGGGTAACTCTTAATTTGCTGGAAGATTTCTTGGAGGGAAGTTTGGAGTACTGTCAAATCTCAAAGTAACAGCAAGATAATCTCTCAAAAAATAGAGAGCCGGATTTCTATGTAGCTTCACTTTTTCTAAATTTTACGCTTGAGTGGAAAGGTCTGGGAATTGGGGAATTGACTTCACGTCCACTCAGCGCAAATACCCATTTTTGCGCAAATGCCCGTTTTACTATAACTATGAGAAGAAAGCAGAAAAGTATCAAAACACATGCAACAATATGGGAAGTCCAAATAGTCAGAGCATTCATTACACGAATATTGAACAACGATGCCAGAAAAAATCATGTCACAGGTAAATGAGGAAATAAATATAATGGTGATAAGCACAGCGCAAATACATTGTAATTTCACTCTCCGATCGTCGACTCCGCTTTGATAGTGTTTGAGAGAATTTTTTCCAAATGGTTGGAAACGTCCCCTTCTTCAAATTCCTTTTCATGCCTTTCATCGGAAAAGAAAAGCAAGCGTAAAACAATCCCTTGTGAAATGCTCCGAGCACACAGCAAATTTTCCCACTGGGTTGAAATCCTTCCGATGAATGGACACGAACCTTTTCCACTTTAATCTAACGCTGCCCGAATCAGGAGAATTATGAATAGAAATCCCCAATTCATCGTTCTTTACGTTTCCACAGTCCTGAACAACACAACGTCTACCAGGCATACTTTCGCTTTAAGTCAAAAAAGCGAAGAAAGAACCTCCAAAAGCTTCCAAAAATATCTCGTCCTACATGCGAAATTAGCCACGTTTGTTTGCCTTGTTTTGCCGCGTTGATGTTTCTACGTCACATCTCGCCCCAACTCCTTCAAATACTACTCCCGGTCATTTTTTGAATCGAGTAATGCACCTATCAAATTCCCCAGGGTGGGAAACGAAAGGTCAATCAAAAGTGTCAAAAAAGCCCCCACCCCAGGGGAAAAAATCTAAACAAACAATGCTATAGTACTATGTAAAACTAATAAAAGAACATTTCAAACACGTTGTTACTACTTTTATTTACGGTTAACGGAAGCTCCATTAAATTACTCGCTGTAATTAAGTATTTTCTCTCTCCACTAGCATCTCTTATCTTGAACAACAAAATCACTCCAGGAAGATTGACCGTGCTATATAATATTAATAAAACGTAAAATGCTTTATAACATCTGCTCAACATGTCGGAACAGGTCGGATCAGTGACCCATAAAAAATCCTCTGACTTTCATGGTGGAATTCGATTTCAATCGAGTTTTACAATCAGATGGGAACTTGAAGATAAAAACTTTCTCAAAATAGACATTATCTGTTTAGATGACAGTGTAAAGTATCGGATTATGGCAATTAAAACAAATGAAAACTTCATACCTTTCTCCAACAGCGTGACTTTCAGGAAGCATCGAGGAACGGACTTGGTAACTGCTTCTGAATTGATACCAGGCTTCTGTCGGTCAAAGTCAAATGTCCCGACCCGGGGGTCGCCTCGCACGATCAAAAGCCCGACAGCGGGGATAGTCCCAGGCATCAAATCCCTCCCTTGCCCGCCCCCCACGGGATTTACATTGATAGGTCCATAATGGCGGCAAGACATTTACGAAAATTGCCGTGCAAATAAACACACTTCCAGATCATATTTGGACTCCAAACTTGGCACGGTAAGTCACTTTTACATACATTTTCGAAATATGTAATCAAAAACGAATTCCCAAATTTGATCGTAGTAGCACTTTAAGTGATTGTAAACTACCGTTCTTTTGGCATAACAGACGTTTCCCGCATTACGCTCCAGTGAGCAAACAAAGAAATGAGGACGAGGCTCGGGTGGACAATTTCATACAAATCACTGTATTTTGTCCACCCGAGCCTCGAATTGGTGCCTTTGTTTACAGGAATGCGGAAAAGGTCTATTACGTGTGGGGACAATTGAAATCAGCCTCTCTCAACGCCCACGAACCTCTTCCCCCCTTCCCCTTCCCCCCTTTCCCCTGCCAACCCCTTATATCCTTCCCACCCAACAAGGCTCCCCTTCATAAATAAGTACATAAATAAATAAATTAAATAGTAAATGCTGTGAACCTTACCCCATCGTCTTCCCCAAATTATTTTAATGTATTTTGACCATGTAACTTTAAAAAATCATATCTCTGGTGTTATTTACAGTTCAAGATCAAGCTATACCTCATTGGAAAGGGAAAAGAATACCCTTTCGAAAAAAAAAATTTTCGGTCGTAGGAAACCCATAATATTCCGCCACAAAAAAATTTAAAAAGCATATTTTGCATAAAAATTTTTTAAAATTTTAAAGAATGTCATTCAGCTAGGAAACTTCTTTATTTTGGGTGATATGGTAGTAACAAATTTTTTTCATCAATATCTAAGCAAAAACAAACGAAAATCGTTCTAAAACATCGAGCGACTAGAAATTTTCTACAAATTTTTTTCTGCACGCTCTCTTGATTATGCTAATTTTATTATCGTAATTAGCATAATCCTTTGGCGTCACCTCGTGAATACATGTTTACTTCACTTAGACGATGTTTTAGATGTTTCCTCGATTCCCAAAGAAATATCGAATTAGAGACAAGCAGACATGAATTTGCTGATAGAATTCATCAAAATAGGCAAGAATTTGACGGCGAAAAGCGAAGCGAAGGCAAAACTCTGGCACAGAGTTCGGCGATCGGCGATTTGCATGCCCAGATTCTAAGTGTTTCCTTACTTCAATGTTCGCGTTTATTTTGCTTGTTATCCTCCAAAATCCTTCACAATAGTTTGCTTGACTTGTATTTGGTTGACATTCGTCGATACAAGCTTGCATTCTTCGCAAAACCGGCTCACAAAAATTCTCCGCGACTCGCCATAAAATTCAAAATTTTCGAAAGCTCGGTGTGTCACGGTCAAAAGTCCTCAGGGGCTGGAACTAGGCAGGTGATTGGCTACATCTATTAACTTCCTTTGTGCCAAATTTGGGAGCAATCGGAAGTAACGCAATTTTTTGCGAATCTTTTTCCGGTTTAGGTCTTGGGAGACCTATTTTGCCAGGGGCGGAAGACGACGAGGTAAATTACTCGCTCATACCATGGTATATTTTTTCCACAGGCGGTGGCTGTTGACGATCTGGTCAAGCCTCGCAACTTCATCTGTTTCAGCAACCTAACTGTCAGATCAGATGATCGGCTTCAGTGTCCATCCTTGTCATTTGGTGAACTGTCGTTCCTAACTCTTAAACCACGAGAACCGCACTTGCGTGCTGCATTGGACAATCTACAGCATAAGATACCGGTTCGTACATTGTTCCTATTTTCCACAGTTTGTGGAACTTCACTCTGCATCAATTTCAGCCTGGCTTAAACACTGCATAGCGTTAACTTGTGCTCTGCAATTGAAATTGAATGAATGCAAAATAATATACATTCAAAAGCAGTTGACATTTCCTTAAAGAATTAGTTGAGAGAATTTGATAACAGATCAAAGTATTTTCCCCTTGCACATAACCTTTTCTCTTGATGATGTATGAAACATGTTGGGAGAAAATTGATGTTGGTCACTCTTGGGACTTTCAGGCTTAACTTTCTCTTTTTTCAACCGTTTCAGGATTTAAATCTCTTCATGGCCAATGTTCAGGGGACGTTAACGACTATCTTACGCCTGCAGCGCATGTCTCCATCAGCTGATGTACAAGTTACTACCGTGCGCATGTATGGAAAAGCAACACATATGTGTTCTTCCATGATGGAGCGAGCAAACCATACGAAGAGGAAACCCTCTGATGCCTTAAATACGCCATATTATAACAAAAAATTAAGCAGTTCCTAAGTATTATACAGTAACTAACCTTTGAAATTCCTTTTTCTTATGCTTTGATTCTCTAAAGAAAAAAGTGCGTATTAAGTTGATAATATAGCCAGAACTTGGGGTCCGATGCCTAAATCGCGTCAATTTTAATTGCTGAATTACGGTATCGAGCATTTTTTCCCAATTAGTTGGACTGACTTTCCTCAGCATGTCCTAGTGGAGGCCATTTAACGAGCAGTTCAAGTAGAGAAAAAAAAAATTTATAAAACGCGAATTAATGGAAAAGTACAGTCGGAACTTATCAATATTAACGTCAGAAAAAAAAGTGTAACTTGCAAATGACGTTATTTTTTACCTTTTTACAACAAAGCGTGTAAAGCTCACCATTATGCTCGTAACCGGCTTTAAATCTGTTATCGTTCTGGACGAGCAATGTGTCAAAGTCCGAGCAGAAACACCAGAAATTACCAAAATATTCTGAACCTTTGTCTATTACGGTAAATGGCGGAAGAATGTGGCCTTTTTTCTTTGTTACAAGTATCCGGAATATAAAAGAACCTCGTAAGACCATCGGGAGTGAAGAGGGATCTTGCATTACCCGTCGCCTTCAGTGCATATCAAATTAATTGATACGGGTGTAGGCTATTTTATCTTAGTTAAATACAAATATTATTCTAGGAGAGCGCGCTGCACAATATCATTTTATGCTCATAAGTGCGAGTAAAGTATTTGCTTTAGTAACAGCATAATCAGGCTGCCATATTAAACGGCCACATTTGTGTTATCGTACCTTCTGTTTAAAGGTCAAGGTTCTTAGAAATTTACACTGCTCGACAACTAAAGAAACCGCCCATGTTGTTTACAAAAATAGTTTAAACACTGGTTAACCAGCAATAGTAAAGAAGTGTTGTTTGAAAATTTTAAATTATAAAACTATGATTGTTTGTTTGGCAGCCGGAAAATTCCAGTCATAATTCGGTTGTTCATGTAAGTTTCATACTCTTTGCTTGAATTATAAAAGAGCTTGATAATAAATTTTTTAAAATCAATGTTTATTTATTCACTTAATATTTATTTTTTTTGAAAACGAAATGTTATTTTTTACTGTATGAATTACACTTTAAGTTTGATAATGTTCACAAGTCTTCAGTTTTTACTTTAGATCAGTTGCTCGAGATAAAGTGCTTAGCTGTCTACAATGGCCCTGTCTTTGTGCCGTATTTTCTTCTTTATTCATTCAATCCGGTCCATTGCGATCACCTCTCTTTAGCAGTTATGTATCCTCTTTCTGAATTGTTGCCATTCATTTATTAGAAAGAGCATCTGTAATGTAAGACTATACAAGGCATTCTCATTTGCAAATTGTTTTATTGTCTGCAAATTGACGAGCGAAAGACCACATGGTGCTAGTGAAACATTAACGTGGCGTAGCGATTGGGATAAATACTGTGAAATTTTCCTTTTCCTCGGCGTCTACGTAAAGATCGTTAAACGTGAGAAGTCCGTCACTGTCTTTGCTCATAGGTTGGGATTGTCCATAGGATTTTTACTGGACTTACTCTTCGTCGCTCTTCGTCTCAAGCGTCCATTTTCTGTGCTAGGGGTTTTAGTGACAATCGTGTTAGTGGGTGCATTAGACTAATGGAGTCAACTATTAAACATCCTTTTAAAGCCACTACCTTGCCATTAAAGGAGATGTGTCAGGACTTTATCAATATTCAAACAGTAGGAACCGCCACCAAATTTACAAACCAAAAAATAATTGCTCAAAACATTTAAAGAAGGTATTAATTACACAGCAAATACAAAAGAAGGCACGAATGGACAAAAACGGGAAGACATTGTGAGTTTTTGAAAACTTGTTAGCCTGCTGATTCTTCAAAATTCAGTTTTGGTGTTTGTAACGTTTTGTATGATAGCTTGTGAAGTGTATTTGTTGGACAGGAAGCTGTTATTTTGTCGTTTACAAGTAGTTTCTTCCAGAACGTTAATTTTTACAGCGCATAAGGAATTAAGCGTAACTGGCATTATTAACAAAATGATCTAGACAGCTGTGGCATAGCCTCTTTAGCCCTGATGGCCTGAAGATGCGTGGACACTTTTGACTTAATGTCTGTGTAAAAATGGGAAATTTGAAACTCCGCACGTTGTTTTTGTTTGATTGGTCGTTATTGCGCTTGCAGTAGGGTCTCGAAGCCCACAGTAAATTGGGACGCAAGAACAGACCAAACGCATCATTCTTTTTGGTCGATTTTGTCTGTTCCGTGTGTAAATTAGGAAGTTTGTTATTTAACCTTGCTGACGAGGAAGGAAGTAAATTCTCATTAAATTCTCTCTAATTTGCAAATATATCAATCGAGATTTATATATAGCTTTTAGCTGCTTGGAAAATTAGCGTTCTATACAGATGTTCAATTAATTCGCCATGTGAAAAGCACAAGTACTTAAGCACTGGCGAAAACTGAACACGTTCATGCTGACCATCGTTAAAACTGATAAAGGCGGCAAAAAAGGTAAGCGAATTTTGTTTGTATTTTTCTCGAGTGAACGTTATTACAGGATTGTCGTATGTATTTGACTTAAATTAATAACAAATTAATTGTACGAATATTGCAGCTGCAGGAAGTGGAAGAACGCCAGTTAAGTCGACCTTGTTTAGCTCCAACTTCCCTTTGGCTTGAACTTCGGAAATTTTTTAAAACGAAGATTTTTGTTTTTGATTTTTGTTTTGTTCTTTGTTTGCTCAGTTGCCAAGCAATAAAGCAGAAAGGAACCAAACCCCCATTAACTTGGCCGGGTTGATTTAACGGCCGTTTTAGAGGTCAAGAATTGCTTTTAGCGATGAATTTGAAGGCAGATATACTTTTAAGGGAGAATGGAAGTGATTTGGACCATTAGCTTTAAAATGTGAAGAAATATTGAGGCAAGAAAACATATGCTTTGCGTCCCACTTCGCAAAAGAGTTACCGTATCGGCTTTGTTGGGCATATCTTATTTAAATGCGATGAAATGCGTTTCAGGTCGTTCTACGGGAAAGGCTTTAATAAAAAAAATATATTGGACAATTGGTTGTTCATCCTTCGGTAGTATAGTAGTAACAAATTGTCCCAAAGAAAAGGATGTGCCGGGTTCGATTCGTGGAAGAGATTAGTTTTCTTTTTCTTTTCTTTTCTTTCCTTTTCTTTTTTCTTTTAATTTTGTTTTGTTTGTTTATATATGGTATATTTTATATTTGCATATTTTCTTTTCCCTACTGGCCTCTTTCTTCCTACTTCTTGGCGTTAACCAAGTGCTCTGCGAGGTTTTGCGATCCACCTATTTCTAGTTAATTATTCGGTAGGACGTAAATATCCCTCTTTTTGTGCGCACTCTATATGCCGAACTTTTCTTTCTTATCTCTAGAACTCAGCGACTTGTTGACAAGTTTCCTTTTCTTTCTTTCAGGTAAAATTTCACATGGCCAGAATCATTACCGTACTGACGCTTTTTGTAGTTATTACAACAGCAAAATGTCTGGATCAACAGCGGAAGTTTACTCAAGACCAAAGGCGACGTAGTGTAACAATATTAATATAAAGCTTTTACCTTATGTTTAACGCTGCAATTTTATTGTGCTTTGGTTGGCCTGCCCATGCGAAGTAGAGAAAACAAAGGTTGTTTTGTTCTATTCTCATCCCAAGAGCCCGTCGTTTCTTTTAGCCGAGAGTCTCTGGGAACATGCATGGCCTTGCTCTTGTGAATGTAGACAATCTTTGTGCTTGCTTGCGCACAGTTTGTTCTCAATCAGCAGGGAACAGTGGCGGCTGCTCAGATTAATCATTTGCTAAGCTGCGTAGCAAGCGTTTCCGTTTAGTTTCGGAGCAAAAAAGGACCGAGGAACGGGATTTTTGACTCTTGTTCCTCGTTCTTTGCTCCTAAACCTCACAGAAACGCTTGCTACGCAGGCTAATCATTTGCCAAAACCAAAGGCAGCGGTATAAAAAATAGAGGGCTTTGGACAGTCTAAAACAACCTTTATCCCTAGACATCCATCCTGGTGATCTACTGTTCAAGGCACTTAAGAGATAGTTTTAAAAAAAGTATGCACTTTTTGTTTCTTGTTAGTGCCTTTTAGGTGGGACGGCGTGCTCAACCGATAGTGAATGTCAGTCATTGTGTGGAGACTTATCTGTTATTTGCAATTTTGCCAGGCGATGTAACTACGCAAGTTTTATTGACATCTTTATGAGAAACAAACCGGTAAGAATCATTACAGGATATTGGCCATTATCAATATATTTTAACCGCGGCGGGGTTGGGACGTTGCGGGAATCTCCGGGGCCGAAAAAATAATTGAGATATTCAGGGAATTAAAGTAACTGTAGAGGAAAGTACTGCCTTTGCTTTGCAAACCTGTCTGCTCCGCAAAGTCTCACAATCCCCTTCCCATCGTCCCCCGCGCTTTCTTTTTTCCTTGTCCCCAGCCCCCTACGGCCAAAAACAGGCCTCTGCGGATGAGAGAGAGTTTGAAAACAGCTTGACCTTCGCGTTTGCTAATAACCACGAAGAAATGGCAGTCTCGTCTTCAGCAGGCGAGGTCATAACAATGTCCTTGACTAGTACTTCGTGTTAAATACCCTGCCGATAAAACTAGAGTCACTCATTTTATCAAGAAACTAAGCGTCAAACCATTATTGCAAGGATAATAGCCCTTTACAGGAAAATGAGTGTGACTGAAATTTTCTTAAAATTTTATCGTTAGAATGTGGCATCAGATGTGAACCCTCAAATAAACCCCACCCGGCATGGACCTAAGGGCCTAATAATGGCCATTGCGTGAGCGGCAGCCCATTTACAGCTGTATTTAGCTCCTGCAATCTAAAATAATCTAAAACATAATTCGCAGTTTTCTATTACTTTGTCAGCTTTGTCCAGGATTTTCTGCGCCAACTTTTGTGAACGCTAAGAAGACCCTGGGACGAAATTAGAACCACGTTTATTAACTTTCTCTTAAAACCCAACCTGTCACTGATATGCTTTGC